TGGCCAGCTGAAAAGGGTATCTCAACGGACAGACTGGATATCTAACACGGTTGTATTAGAGCGAGAACCAACTCCCACCAAACCAGGAATAACGCGGATCAGCTTAAACCCTTCTCAGACCCTCGACAAAGCCATTCGATGTTCAAAGTACCTGCACAAGCTGCATGGAATGCAATATATGTCGGTAATAGATATCCAAGAGAAAACATCTAAGATCATCTTTAATGACCACAACGTCATGGGGTCCCAGATGGACCCACCATTTGGCATAATATGAGGATATTATCTCTGCATCCAAAGAATGGCAGCCCGAATTCATATGGTACTGGCCTCTCATCAGTGCTGACGAAATAATCCCTTGCGTTGCGAAGCAGAATTGACCACGAACAATGCAACACATAAGTATGCCCTGTCACAAGATGCACTTGCTCGCAAAGCCATCTTCATGAGCCATGTTACCAATACGGATGGCTTCCAGCCCAACCCTGTCACGGTTAAAGCAATAATTGCCATGCCCACTCCAACCGACAAGGAAGCAGTGTCCCGATTCATAGGGGCTCCTGGCCAAATTCTGTCCCCAACTTAGCAGGCACTTTCACCAATCCTATGATCTAAGGCAAGCAAGCCTTTGCCAAGTCCTAGCCACCTTGCAGCATGACTGGCATACTTTGACGTAACTACGCCTCTGATCCTTCGAGTGGACGCCTCAGACTATAGCCTGGGAGCTTCCCTCTTACAGCCCATCATACTACACAATAGCAGTGCCCTTGACAAGTCTTCTCTACGACCCACTGCGTACAGCAGAAGGCCTAACCACTACCGAGCAGCGCTATGCGCAACTCGAAAAAGAGCGCCTGGCTATTGTCGCAGCCTTCAAAAAATTCCGGTAATGGCTTTTGGGAAAATCCAACACAGAGTCCATATAGACCACCAACCACTTCAGCCAATCTTCAAGAAGGACCTCGCTCATCGCCTAAACAGCTGTAGAAGATGACGCTTTTCCTACAGCGTCACAACTTTACTGTTGTGTACAGAAAAGGTTCTTTCTTGCAGACACCCTATCCAGAGCCTCCTGTCAAGACGAAGCCTTCAACCCATCCATGCCAGACACCATCCATGTGTTTCACGTTCATCTTGCTCGCTTGGACCTCACCTCACCGGCCCTCACCGATACCATTTGCGAGCAACTATGCAATGCCACATCATTATGCCCTGACATGCACTTGCTGCAGCATTACACCCTCCACGGTTGGCCACCTGCTAAGAAGCTCCTACACCATCAACTCCAAGCACTCTGGCACTTTCGTGAAGAACTCAGCATTGCAAATAGTATTCTTCTTAATTCTACTCGCGCCATCGTCCCTTCTCTCAGACCAAGCATGCTGAGCAAAATCCACCACTGCCATGGAGGAGCAGAACACTGCCTTCGTTTCGCTCGAGATGCAATTTTCTGGCCCAACATGCATATTGCCAGTCATGCCCTAGTATGGAAAGCAAGCTGCCACTGAGCCTATACTATCCCATCCTGTCCCTACACGACCTTGGCAGTTCATCCCGCAAGATATACTTGAGTTCCAACAGAAGCAGTACCTAGTCACCGTAGACCATTACAGTGATTTCTATGAATTGGACCAGCTGATAAACACTCAATCCACCACCATCGTCGTGCTCACCATAGCCCACTTTGCCGGCCACGGCGTCCCATTACGTTGTATGACAGGCAATGCCCCGAACGCCAAATAAGTTTAATGACAACGAACTTTATTAGAAAGTGGGCTAACAAAGTACAACCTCACAAGAGCACTCCATATCCTCAGTGCCTCGCTTATGGAGCATTTTTCTTCTTGTTCATGTTATTATCTTTTTATTTTTGAACAATGAGTCACATTAATTTTGTCTTGGATGTCACATACATTATTTGTTTGTATTTGTATATATAATTTTTTTTGACAAGGGGGGGTGTCATGTCACCGTTGCGTTACTCGCGCATGATTACATCACATTCTAAAGTTCCGGTACCAACGCGCACTCTGGGGTGTGATTAAAAATCATCACGGCTGCCCATGTATTTATTCTTCGTTAATCTAGATAGCATACTGCTTTACAAACAAACTTATATTTTTCATCTCTTTTATTTCTAAGTGTATGAATAAGCTCTTTAAGGTCAGAAATCCCATTCCGTAAGTTGGCTATTTTATCATTGAATTTTATAATGAGTGCTTTCCTTTGAGCGGTTGCCTATTTACGTGTTTGTTCTTACGAGCTGAGAGTTCGTAGTTAACCCTTTTTCTTTGCCTCTCTAGCCCTCTTCTGTGAAAGCTAGAACACTGAACTTGTTGAGCTTGTTGTTTATTTCTTTTACTTCTCTATCGTAGATTATGCCCGGCGCGATGTGGAAATAGCTGCAGAGACTGATGTACTTTATCTTCCTATTACAGCAAATGTCCTTTTGAATCAAACCCGTGTTTACTAAGAAATAAGGTCAGTTGAGATAAATGCTTAAGTAAACAAGGCTTAGTGTGACATCTTGTTTGGGAAAACGAAACTGTGAAATATGTTACAGGTGAGGAATACAAGGGGAATGCCGCTCTTAATAAAGTTTGTCTTCCTTTCAAAGCTGAGTATTGTCGAAATCGACTGTTTTAGTAGTCTTTAATTTTCTGCCGTTTGGCCTAGGCTCGTACTTACAGGTTAGTAAACAGGTTTACAGCAAGAGATGGGAGTTGTTGATGTATACTTGATGTATAATGTAAAGTAATTGATACTAACACAACTTCTCTTTTTCACTAGACTAATTCTGCAGAAGACCAACTAATAACCAGGCTAAATGTAAAGTCTGGAGAAACTGCTAAAGTTCTTTGTGTTGTGCCTGCAGTCTGCACTTGACTATGGACTTATTGATTAGTGTCTATGGCAAAAAATGAGTTTTGTAACAAATGATCCTAATATATTTCTGTATATTTGAAGAGAAATCATCAGATTTAATAATGTAATATACACATTAGAGATTTAGGTGTTGTCACTTGACTGCCCTTTTTTCCTTGCTAATTGCACATGTATAAAAAGCTAAAGCAGGATAGATGACACGTACAAATAAAATTCTGAAGGAGCAAAACAGATTGCATCATTCTATCCATACATTTAAACCACTTATTGATTGTACCTGGCAAACTAATTTAGCTTTAGTGCGTGAAAGATCTTTATCATTTCGTATTTAGACTCATATTTTACCGTTCAGTCATCTTCAGTACGCTGTATCTTTGCAACTACTGACCCTTTTCATTCAAGCAATGGTTTATTTAACAGCATGATTACATATTGCTCTTTGTCTGTTTACTCCCTTTTGAAGACATTTTTGTTTCATTCAATTTTCTTACCATTCATAAAATTGGACCAAAGATTCTGAGTGTACATGTAGATGATGTAATGGACATAAAATATGTGCAGCATATGTTGTTTGCAAATCTTTATTACTAGTTATACCAGTTGAATTAGTAAAGATATTGTTTTGCATATGACTCTAATAATATCTGGTGTTGCTGAAAGGGTTATGCATGGTGTCTGTGATGGAGAAAGTTGTTACACAGAAAAGTCATAGTTAGCGTCATTGTTTTGTTACTGGTGTGATATGTGGTGTTGTTGCATGTGGAGTAAAATTTTTTTTGTTGTTGCTTTGTTACAAATGATGATGATAAATGTAATTATAATATGACTGGATAGGGTAACAATTTGGTAAATTAAGAGAAAACGAAATATGCATGTTAATTCATAGGGTTATCATTTACGGTGCTGTACAGTGAAATTCTATGACATTGTTGATATTTGTCTTTCATGTTAAGTGTGTGTTGGAAATTCTGTTTATTTATCTATGGTGTTAGGTCATGTGGTTATTGATTGTAACAATAAAGATCTAATTGTTCTGTTGTTGTAACATTCTTTTAACTTTTATTAGATGCTGCTGATAGATATTTAAAACAGCAGATTTCATTCAACTGCCACTCAGTTGCCATCGTCATGGCCACAACCCTTTCTTTCTCCTCCTTCCCTCTCTCTCCTCCGTGTCATGGTGTTTTTCAAAGGAATTGCTATAATTATTGAGCCTGCTATTCCTGTAAAAGGCTTGTCTGCATGTCTTCTTTAGCGGAAGCTAAGTTCCTTAAATATTCTTAAAGACAAATTTTCCTTGATGTGTATTCCTTCTCTGACAGGTAACCTTGCTTCGCAGTCATGATATCCAGTTATCCTTTTGCAGAAACTGCTTATGGTTTACTTTTATTTTTTTTTATCAATCCTTCCCTAGTTTTGCTTCGGGGTGTCAGAAGTCCTACCTCTGATGTGTTGCAGCTTGGCTACAGTGTAGTGATAACCTTGTTGCAGTTTGATCTCTCTTGCTACTGTCTTTCTACTGCAAGACAGTAGCAAGAGAGAAGTCAGACGTTTTGACAAGAGAGAAGTCAGACATCCTGTTCTCCTTTTCCATGTCTTAAAAAAAGGGGTGGGTGACAGAAACTTCTTATGGTGCTTTTTTTTTACCAATCCTTCCCTAGTTTTGCTTCGGGGTCCCAGAAGTCCTACCTCTGTTGTGTTGCAGCTTGGCTACAGTGTGGTAATAGCCTTGTTACGGTCTGACTTCTCTCTTGCAACCATCTTGCAGTTTCCAGACAGACGGGGTCTGTTTGGAAACTATCAACATGAGAATAAAGGTAGAGACAGACCGGCACGGACTCCCATGTGGCGTTTGTGGTCGCGTCGCATTATCACCTTCAAATTATATTTTTGCACTTACAAGCGTATCTCGATAAGTTCATTGCAAACCCTACAGCATCGCTAAATACTAAATTAATGAGCTTACCATAACCAAATGTTAGCTTGAAAATTCAAAGTAATTATAGAGAAAGGTAGAAATATAGACTGCAGCACTGTCTTACATATTTTGTTAAATGATCCAAACATGTCGTCTATGGTTGTTTATCAAATGTTTTTGCTTACAACATTGTTAGAGGTGGATGGTGGCTGGAGTGAGTGGAACTCCTGGAGTAACTGTACAAAGGCAGTTGGTGGTATACAAACAAGAAAGAGAGAATGCACCAATCCGGAACCAGCATATGGTGGGAAACACTGCAATGGGACCGGTGCACTTCTGAGAGGATGTAGCAACATGTCCAGTTGCCTTGAAGGTAACATAAAAATTGCAGCTTTTTTAATTTCAGTGGCTAAAAACATCTTTGTTGAAACAAAAATAAACAAATACAGGAATAACAGTTAGAACAAAAACAAATAAACGGAACTTCTGAGTTTGAACTTTAATCACATCATTATCCAGGCCAAGTATGTGAAATGCATAAATTATTAAGAGTCATTATAAGCCAGAAATCCTTCATAATTGCAAACTCTGTACATATACGGAATACACCATGCTCTTTTTGAAAGAGCAGTTAATTTAGCGTTAACAACTGAGTTGAAAACGTAAATTGGCCACCATAAAGAGTAAAAAAGCTGACGTTTCGAGCGTTAGCCCTTCGTCAGAGCGATTTGAGGAATTGTGGGTTGTTTGTGGCTTTATATGCAGCATGACGTCTAGACATCAAAATTTCAATTGACGACAACGATTTATGCACTAGTGTTTACTACAAACCTACAGATTCACACAGTTACTTGTTGTATTTATCTTCACATCTATCGCACGTTAAGAATTCCATACCCTTTTCACAGTTTCTCAGACTTCGTTGTTTATGTAGTGACGACTCTAATTTTTCCGACAGTTTTTCGATAAACGTGGCTATCCTGTTTCTGTCGTTCAAGCGGGCCATCACCGTGCCCAACAAATTGATCGACAGTCAGCACCACAAACGACTGAGAAGGAAAACACTGCGGACTGCATTCCATTCACTCTCACATTTCACCCTCACAACCACGCGGTTAAATCTATCATTTTTAAAAACTTTAAATTACTCCAAAACGATTCAAAGACTGATACTATCTTTTCGCAACCCCACTTATTTCATTCAAACGTGACAAAAACATAGGTAACTTTTTGGTCAGATGTTCATTTCAAACCAATGACCAATCTAGAACTTTCAAATGCGCTCACTCACGATGCAAAACTTGTCCTTTCATTCATAACGTAGAGAAAATATCAGGACCCGAGAGATCAATTTAGATCACTGATCACTTCACGTGTACCTCCGCCAACGTCATTTACTGCATAACTTGCACTTATTGCAATACGTTATACATTGGTGAAACAGTTAGACGACTAGGTGACCGATTCCGAGAACACCTTCGCGACGTGGAAAGAAATGACAAGGATGCATCCAAACCAGTCGCTGGACACTTAAATCTCCCTAATCATTCTAAACAACATATGGCAGTTTGCGGCCTTTCCTTACATCTAGGCAGTTATAAAAATACTAGAACAAAAATTTATCTTCCAAATCGGCACTCTTAATCCCAACGGTGTCCACGAGCGCTTTTCATTCAACTAATTTATTCCTGTTTTCTCATCACCATATTCCCACCAATAGCGTAGCTCCATTTGCTGCATATAAACCCACACGCAACCCACCATTCCTCCAATCGCTCTAATGAGGGTTAGAGCTCTAAACGTCAGCTATTTTATTCTTGGCCAATTACGGTGGTCAATTTACGTTTTCAACCCAGTTGTTAACACTAAATTACCTGCTCTACTCTCCCACCGACGCAGCACCACAGTTTCCTTAGAAAATTACCCCTTTATTAATTTGACAAGAAACATGTTTAATAATGCGAGGGTCTCAGATATTAAATAACGTTTTGGCATTGACCTTCTGGTAAAGAAAATCAAGTTAGCTACACAGGAAATTCTTCCACCACAAAACTGAAAAGAAATTTTTCAACAATGTTAGGACCTCTGTTACTGGGTAATTATATGGGAACATCATCAACACAAGAATTTACACAAGCTGAAGTAGTCCACGCTGTTTATTTTTATCCTTATTTATCAGTTTTTTTGTTGAATATTTAGAAGGATTTCCCCTGCGTTTTGAAACAAAGGGGAACCCATCTGTCGGTACAATGGAGATATTCTCAAATAGCAGCTGGAAAACGCTTTGTACCAGTCAATGGGATGACGCAGATAAAAATTCAGTCTGCATGGCCATGGGCTACTATAACAACGGTGTTTATGCTAATGGCACATGGTACGCAGAACGTGGCAATGCTTCAATGTCCACCCACTACAACTGTACAATTCCGACCACATGTCAAAACAACGTGGTAAAGAAACAACAAGTCTGCGAAGGTAATTATGAACTGCACTCATGTAATATCCACATGATTTCCAAAGATGGTAACTTGATAGATTTACTCACACTCCAGAGATGAAAACTTTCCCGAGAACAATGATTGTTCGTCTTCGGGTATCTTTTTGGTTCTAAAAAGGTTTCTAACGCTAAAAATTGTTTCTACTGTTTACATCCTAAGACGTTTGCGCAGTCATGCATTTGAGTTTCATGAACTTCACAACCTCCAAACCCTCCATTAAGTTTCCTTGAAACTATTGCATCCTTCTAGTTTCCTTTTTTCTCTCTCTTTCGTGCAATTGGGGAATTTCACAATTTTTTACTTCAGTTGTACTTAACTAAACACCTCTTTCTCAATTTTTTCTTGAGAAATGCTTTAAAAATGACGTTCTAGCTTAAAATGTAAATCACCCCATTGTGTTCTCTGAAAGTAAACGTTTTAAGGTTAAGAAAACACGTCTTAAATGTTCTAAAATTTTTGCCAAAAAAAATCTGGTTTGTCTTATTTTAGGGTAAATGATGAGTTTAACAATTTGAAGCACAGTCACGAAGCAATGTAAAAGAGGTCCGTCGGAAACATCGCAGCAGGGAAACTATGAAAACATCGTGATTCACATCTGACAACAAACGATAATTTGCACCTAGAATTTCACTTAAACAAAACACTTAGACTGGCATGAACTATTTATCATTTTGTGTTTTATAGCCATTCTTGCTTCTCGATAATTAGTGTTTTCCATCCTTATAAATTCGAATTTTTGTTATTTCATAAGTTCCTGTTCGCTTGAAAGGCGCAAATGTGGAGTATGGAGGAAGAGTGGAAGTATTTTACAAGGGGAAATGGGCGAAGATATGCAGGAATGAATGGGATTTCAATGATGTCAAAGTTATTTGTCGTCAACTTGGCTTTGAAGAGGCTTTGGCGGAATTTGTTGGGTCAGAAGTGAAGGATGAGAGAATACCTTTTGCAATGTCTGATGTCTCTTGCACCGGAGAGGAGTCAGAACTTGCATTATGCAATCGCCTTGATGGAAAGTCAAATATTCCATCTCAATGTCAATCGGATGGCAAGGGTTCTCAAGCGTTGTGTCAACCAAGTAAGCAACTAAATTTTTAGGTCTGATTAGTTATTCCGGTTTTCGTGGTTGTCTTTTTCTTCCCATTGACCTTCTGAGTGGAGGAAAATCAGAGTAAATTGAGATCTACAGAAGACCAGAAGACCATTTCTAAAAACATTCTGGTAAAGAATGACTCGCGGACAAGCATATATCTGTTCGCAGATTTTACGCTTTAGATAGCGACATGACTTTGACTGGGGATGACATGGCTTAGTTTAGAGTAACATAAATTGGCTTAAAATGACTTAGATGATTTTGATTTCTTCAACTTAGTTGATAATGTAAATTTGCCTCCGTAAAGAGTTTCAAAGCTAAAATTCGAGCGTTAGCCCTTCGTCAGAGCGGGTGCTATACTCTCCCACAGACGTAGCACCACAGTTTCTTAAGAAATTTACCCTTCTTATAGATGATTCAGTTTGGTCTTGAGGTGGAATAACGTTAGCTAAGGTGTACATGACTGTCAAGAAGGTAATATGACTGCTTATAAGATTATCTGACTTCAGTTAAGGGTTACCTTTTTTTTTAATGGGTTTCATAACTTCTTTGGATGCAATATTATTCTGTTCAAAGGTTACATTACTTTAATAACGGCTAACATGATTTTGTTTGGAGTAATGTAACATAGTTTTAAGTACGACAAAGTTCAAAACATTTCCCAATGAAGGCATTAGTACAGGTAAATATATGCATCTTTTGTATCCCTTCTTGTAGTGTTAATTACAAAAAATTTTACTTATTTTGACATCTTCTAAATTGAACCTTTTTTTTGCAGAGAACAAGAAAGTGTTGCTTAGAGATGAACTCTATTTTGATATTGGTAGCGAAGAACGGCTTCACTGCTCTATACAAAATAAAACCAATCATGCTAGATGGGTCATCAATGGGCTAAAGCTTGAAATAACAAACTCTTCTTCTCGAAGGATCAGGGCTGAAGACAATGGTGATCTGGTCATTGATGATGTGCAACTGTCTGATGGAGGAGTATATGAATGCCAGATATTGGAACATATTCAATATTACATTGTCTATATTAATGGTATGAAAACACATATTTTTATCTTGTAGAAATAGGCTTAACATGCAGGACAATGTCATGTAAGACAAGTACACTTCTGACCTTTCAAAAGTGTAGCTATAATATTAGTGCTTTTCATTACTCCTTTCAAAAGCAAGATTTACTGAGAAGACGCTGGACCAGCAAACCTTAACTGCGTACACGTCTGGCATTATAAGCTGTAGTGCTGATGGAAAACCAAGTCCACAGATTTCTTGGAGTAAGAAAGGAGGAAAGTCCTTAGATTCGAGACGATTCACTCAAGTACCCAGCGGCAGCCTGCGTATTAGTTATGTAAAGCCTGAAGACGATGGAACATTCACCTGTACCATGAAACAAACTAAAGGACCACGGATGGTCACAACCAAAGATAAACACATACGAGTGACAGTTATAAGTGAGTGACCAATGAGATAATATATAGAAAGTCATCAAGTCAGTTCTTCAAATGTGATGAATTTAATTTACTCAATTTCAAAACGTTTTCGCTGTTCATATCCGCAGCCATGCGAAGCGACATTTTATCATGGATATGTTTGTTGATTACAGTTGTTTCAAAGTAGGGTGTCATGTTAAAAGAAATTATACTTAAGTTATTTATCAACAATGTAGTATCCTCGTCATAACTCAGAGTAAGTGCCCTTTGATGAAGCTTATAGTTTCTTTTCAAACTGGTAATGTGCTTAAAACGACTTCGGTTGGTCATGGTGACGAATTCAATTTCTGAATGCATTATAATCGTTTATCTCGCCATTAAGTTACTTTGGATGTGGATTGTGACTTTTTGACTGCATATTGTGTCTTCTTCGTGTTATAAGGTCGGTAGATATGCATGACCTTATGAACACTCTGTTTGACTGTGATTGGCTAGAATCCCACACAGGCCTCGATTGCCACACTTTGATTAAATGTTCTTTCGGAGTCCACTGTCGCAAAGTTATTCTGTTTTGTGTTTCTTGTGGTCCGCATCCATGTTTCCGGGATGTCTACCCCAATGTCCAATTTATGTTGTAACATGCAAAGTCTTACGTGGATGAATAAAGGGGTAAGTTTCTAAAGAAACTGTGGTGCTGCGTCGGTGGGAGAGTATAGCAGGTAATTTAGTGTTAACAACTGGGTTGAAAACGTAAATTAGCCACCGTAAAGGGTAAAAAAGCTGACGTTTCGAGCGTTAGCCCTTCGTCAGAGCGACTAGCAGTCCTAGTCCTAGTCCAGTCCTAGTCGCTCTGACGAAGGGCTAACGCTCGAAACGTCAGCTTTTTTACCCTTTACGGTGGCTAATTTACGTTTTCTTACGTGGATGGCCTCTTTTACCCTGCGTGTATAATAATAGGATCACAATCAATGTACTCTACTTCAGTCCAGAGCAGGTGGTTTCCAGGTGTCTTCTGAAACTGCAGAGGCCTTTGTCTAAGCATGTCGTCTCTCGATCTGTCATATTACTCGTTTAACCACTACTTGCATAGGACTGCATGTCCCGCTGATGTAAACTTCGCATTACTCACAGGGAATCTTTTAACCTCGGGCTCTTGTTTTAAAGATGCAGTCCCATGGATGGCGAGTGACTTGTTACTATTTATAACATCAGTGAAGTGAATGGAATGCTTTCGGTTCTTCAAATGCTGTAGCAAACTATCAGCGTTTTCGCGAACCAAGATTATAGGGTGATAAGGTTATCGATTGCTCCTAAAACTCTATAGCGATAACAGGGTAGACCATACTCTCCATGGCTGCGCCTTCTGTCTTTCGTAAACTGGTCCGAGATAATAGGAGTATGTAGACCTCAATACGAAGTTATGTCCGCGATCTGACAAATGATTATATTTCATATAAAGCGCTAGTGTCATTATCAAATGTTCATTATGTTAAGTTATGGCGTTTAATGTGTTCTGTGTAAATGATATTGGAATACCTCCGATTTTCCAAGGACATGTTATTTATTTACCTCCTAGTTCGACCAAAAGTGGATATTTCTGGAGCAAGCAATCTCATCATAGAAGGAAACAGTGTGAACTTGACGTGTAAAGTTGTGGAGGGTCGGCCTGAACCACAGATCACCTGGCTCAAGAATAATACATTGCACAGACAGAGTTTGTCTCTCTTCTTTTCTGAGATAACAAAGGGGGATGAAGGGCGGTACACTTGTAAGGCAGAGAATGCAGCAGGCTTTGACACCAAAGACATTGACATTTCTGTAAAAGGTGTGTTCGTCAAGTGTACAGTATTTCTTTACACATCTTGATTAGTTATTTATTGCGAAGAACTAGAAAGTTTTTTCACTTGTTCGTTTGTTCCTGCTCTTAAAATATGATGGTTTCACGGCTAAGCTAGTAATATAGCCTGACTAACATGGTTTTTGGAAGCATTTGTTTGATATGATCAATCAATGGTTCATCGTTTTCTTCTTTTCAAATTGTTATTTATTAATTTGTTTAAACTTATTATTTTTCTTTTTGTGGGTGTGGGGGGGGGGGGGGGCGTTGGGTGGCTTCTTATTTTGCAATTTGTATTTATATGCTTACTTTGCAGTTCCACCCCGTGTTAGTGATGAGTTTAGAAATCTCACCATTGCATTGAACTCCACATTTACAAAAAAGTGTTATTTGAGAGGTGACCCACAAGTATATGTCAACTGGACCAAGGATGGAGTGCTTCTTAGTAAAAACAACAGCCTGGTTATTAGACAAGTGACGTTTAAAGATAAAGGCTACTATGAATGTAGTGCTAGAAATGATTATGGAAAAGCAAACTCTTCCTTCTGGATCGATGTCACAGGTAAACTCTATATTGTAGTTTATGTCATTTATCAAACTTGCAACTTAACAAAGCGTTTGTTTTTAAGCTTAAGCCAAATTTAAATAGACCTTTTTTTTTCTCTCTTTTCATCCATTTCCTTAAAAATATCGACGATCAAGGAACTAAGGAGTCATGATCTAATAATACATTTTCATTAGTGCTTAAGGTAGTTCATCAACTTGGCTTTGAATGTGTCATTACCTAAATATTAAGGATTGAAACTGGAAAGAGATTTTAAAAGCACATTCATATAACTTGCTTAAAATTACCAACATTAGTACTCTTTTTTTCTAGAAAAGGGTACCTGAACAAGTGCAGTTGATTCTGACTTACACACACCCAGATTGTTATTGAGGCTAAATCCGTGACCAAAGAAATAATTAAAAACACCTCCCGCTCTTAAGAAATTGCAAATCCTGTGGTCCACGATAACATTTTTATCCGTGAACTCATATTAAAACACACAATTTGGAAACGACAAATAACAGATTTTCTTTCCTTTTTTTTATTTCAGAATACAAATGTTTTACATTGTTTTGATCATCATCGCCTAATAACTTTTCGAATTCAATATAAACTGTTAAAAAAGGAAACTGATAGTCATTGAACATATGTGTTTTTAACATCACACTCAACAACCAACAAGAAAAGGATGAATGTTATTGGGACAACTGGGACAACTTAAGGGCAAACAATATCTTTTTATGCTGAACGCGAAGAAAACCTTTGAAAAAAATTGACCTTGGTCAAAAATAGGCTTGAACATTGCGTTTTTTGTTTTGATATTTTGTCGTTGTTGTTGTTTCCTCGTTTTATCAAAGATTGGATAAATGGGGCTAAACTGGACTACGCGAACCTTGCTAACTTTGGATTTTTTTTTAATTGAAGTATCTCCCCAGATTATAGAGCCTCCAATAAACCAGTCTGTTACCGAGGGAAACTCTGTGAACTTCAGTTGCCGAGCCTCAGGTGTGCCAACACCAACATTAGTCTGGGTTTTTAATAATGCTGACCTGCCATCTGGTATCAATCAATTCAATCACGAAGGAGAATCATTCCTGGAATTTTTAATCGTCACAAAAGGGATGGAAGGGACTTACAAGTGTAAAGCGAAAAATAAAGCAAATACCAGTATTTCCTTTGCAACACTGCGTGTTTACGGTAAGTTTGATGATAATGACAATAACGATGATGAAGACACTGACCGTGACGATGACGCCGACGATAACCATGGCGATGACGATGACATGACGCTGACACTGAACTGCTGCTGACGGTGAGGGTGACAAATGTGGACCAGCATTTTAATCAATTTCCTTTTTCTTAACGTAGGAAAAAGCTCTGCTCAAGTTTTTCCAGGTTGGTATCCACCACTCACAGTAACAAGCTCCCTCAAATTGACCTGCATTGTCAACGAAGAAACAACAACTGTAACTTGGAAAAAAGATAAAGACTCACCACCCGAAAGAGCAAAGATTGATACACGATTCGATGAAAAAATTAGTGAACTTACTATAACTGAAGTTAGGAAGACGGACAGTGGTGTGTATAATTGTGAGGCACGTAACAAGCTCGGTTTTGTTGCCAGGTCATCTGTAACAATAGATGTCAAAGGTAAGTTGGCGTTACCGTTGTGTCTTAAAAAAATACTATACTGACTAAAAAATATATTTCCAAATAGATTGAAACTGTTTATCAGTTAAAGACGAAACAAACATAGGTCACCTGACCTATTTACATGAAATTACCTTGTATCACTCTATGAACTTCAGGTACTTCGTTTCAAAGATCAGGTGTCAATCACGAGTTAAATAATGTGCCAAGCTATTCCTAAGCTTTTCCAAATAACTTGAATTTTATTAGTACTTTTACTACCGTCGAGATTTGTCTAATGGTCATTTATCTATCTCACACAATTAGCTAAGCAAGTGCCACGAGCTATGCAAAGTTTCAACACTCTGTGGTATTACATTAATGGATCAGTGGCGGCAGCGCTTGCCATTTCGCTAATTGCCTGGCATTTCTGGAAGCGTCGAAGGACAGGTGACGTCCATTTTTCTGTGTTATTTCAGATTTCTTTGTCTGAAAGTAATAGAAGGAAATGTTTAAACCTATTAAACATGTCTACTGAGGGGGGGGGGGGGGGGGATGGGGAACACTGAGCTACGAGTCTAAGAGTAGAGATATTTTTATAAGAATTACTCGCCTGCGGCCAAAAAATGCTAATGTAGAGTTTTTTCACATCTGTATATGTATTGATAATAATTTTAAATTCAGCAAGTATCGCGTCACTCCTAATTTGTGCAAATTCAAAATATTCTGCCACTTCACAGAAATTTTATTAGAATATTCGATGTAATAAATTAATGCACAGTTTTACCTTCTCTATCTCCTTTTATTCATTATTTGGAATTGCAGCTATGGCTCTGTAAGTCAACTATTTTACCTTTTATTCATCAAATTCATCGAAAAAATTCCCCATTGCATGATGACGATAACAAAAATCATATCGCAGTGACTTTACTTTTATCGTGTTTATGATGCATTATTAACATTCATCTAGTGCTGATAGAGTCGGCTTCATTAATTCCTTTGTTTAATTTTTTATCTCTTAAGTACCTTCCATCTATTTTCGGTTAGATTAATCAATGGATTTAGTACTTTGAAGTAAAAATTGGAATCCACGTAAAATTTTCTGATTTTAAAACCAACTGTTTCTTTATTGATTTTAACAAACGACGGGGCTATTGTTGACCTTCATCCGATTGACAAAGTGTACTTAAATAACAATAATTACTGACATATTTTGTGATAATTTATGGTCTTGGTTTAGTAACAATATTGTTTTCTCACTATCGGCAAGAGAGATTATTTCTCTTTTCTTTTTATCACTTTTCTTTGTTTTGAACCTGAAAGTATGCAATGTTAATTTCCAATATTTAGTCCTGACCAAGAGCAGGCAATTCAGATGGAGCCATTGAATGCACAGGTAGATGAGTGGGAGGTTGCGGTGAACCGTGTCCTGCTACAAGACGTCATTGGACGAGGGGCGTTCGGAGCCGTGTGGAGAGCTCTCCTGAGTTCACCCAATGGACAACCTGGAAACCGGACAGTGGCTGCTAAATGTTTTACGCGTAAGCCTCCTTCTATTCGTTACATTGATACATATGTTGTTCTCAGGGGCGGTTATAAAAACGTTTTATTTGGGCAGAGGGGGAGGAAGGGGTGGTCCAAAATTTCTTCTCAACCAACGCACACCCCCTCTTCCTCGCTCAAGGTTACGCGCGGGAAAAAAAAAGGAAGGCGGGGGGAGGAGCAAACAAACAAAGAAGATAATCAACCAGTTTGGTCATAAAAGTGATCCTGCAATAATAGTAGTGTAAAAGGTCACAGGCATAGGTTAGAAGGGGGTTAGTATGGGTTAGTATCCGCCACACCCCACTCCCCCCGGGGGGGGGGAGGTGTTGCAGATACGCTGGATCCTCCCTCTAGATCCGCTGCTGAATCCAGTAGGGTTTTTTTTCTCCCTCTGGACCTATTCCCATTTACCAGTGACTGATTATCCCGGGTTGGAGTGGGCAGTCTAACAGACTGACTACACGGCGCTTTTCGCTGGCAAAAGACTTTTATCGGACGAAAGATGTGAAGCATCTGCAGTGATGGTAAAACTAAAGAAAACAAGAACTATTGGTAGGATTTAAACCTCAACTGGTTCCAATTCGGCCTTTATACTCACAGTCAACTCAGCTGTGGCCGAGGTCAATGAGTTGGACAATCTGCTAACTGCGAAAATTATCATCCAAACGGTAATAAGAAGATGCGAGGTTTGTAACTCTACCGGATTCTTTCTGGCTTGAACTGGCATGGAACAAAAGTATTAATCAGAATGTGTCTCTATCAATGTATACTTTTGTTGTAGCCACTGCTGGAGAGGAGGGAAGGAAATGTTTGATGAGAGAAATTGAGCTAGGGAAACTTATCGGTGAAAACGTTTCGCCAAACATTGTAAAGTTCATGGGCTGCGTTACGACAGAAAGTAAGTACTAAGCGTACAGCATCTTTTTTAAGTATGTGTTATTAACGATACTACAAATGCTGAATGAACCCTCTTAGAACCTCTTAAAATTGAGTTCCGTAACTAGGACGTTAATGGAGCCACGTTTGTCTTTATTTTGTGGCAACCAGACTGTTTTTCTTCGAGAGCATGTATCCATCAACAGTTCATTAAGATCCGGTCTGACAGCTTGAAATCTCATTAACGGGGCTAACCGGCTTTCTCCCTTTAACCTGTGGCAAATTTTTGAAAGTAAATTCTGATAAAGGTAAGCTAAAAGTGAAGTTATGAAGAAAGCCATCAGCAATTTTATCTTTGCTGTACAATAAGGAGCCTTGACATGGGGTTTATTTGCTTTTTCTTTTGTTTTACGTCACTTAAGTTCACCCCATACTCATCATGGAGTACTTGCCATGTGGTGATCTGCTTGGCTACCTGAGAAAATGCCGAGGAGTGAGGGATCGGTACTATCTTGGTGAGGGAAGAGCTCAGGATCTGAACAACTACGATCTCGTGCTGTTTGCCAAACAAATCGCCGCCGGCATGGTGTTCCTTGGAACGCGAGGGGTAAGTGGAATACTTGTCACATGTCAAGTCTAACTCAGAAAAATCTTTCAGAGATTTAAACTTTTTATTTTTCAATAGCACGGATTTTGGCCAAC